TGGGGCGAAGGGAGTTGCCGCGGCGGGGGATGAGGAGGGGGCCGGGGCCGGTCCTTCGGGGGCGAGGACGAGCAGCGCGGCTCCGGCGGGCGGTGGTTCCTGCTGGGGGCGGGTTAACGGGGGACCTGATGTTGGGCCGTGACTTGCCGTATGCTGTGCAGGCAGGGGTGTTGCATCGCTAGCTGGCTGGAGAGCACCCTGCTCCGGAGGCCCTCCTTTCGGAGGCCCGTTATTCTCCTCTGCTATATTTCCTGGGAACTTGTTGATCGTTTTGTGGCTCTCTGTTAAAGTCTTTACTAAAATGAGTGTGTGTTTCAAGCAGTTACCAAAAATGGCTTTTATTAGACTATCAAGAAGCTTAGCAATGACATCACTCAAGTAGGTAATTTACCAAGCGTTCAGTGGACAGGAGTGACTGTTTCATGTCATCATTTTTATACAACACACTGTCTGAGGCCAGTCACACGTTGGCTTAGGCCCCAGTACTGATGTGCTTAGCCACATCTTTTCCCCACCACAGGAACAGCTCTGTGGACTTCACTACTGCAGCCATTCATGGAAATAAAGCTAAGAATGGACACAGTTATTTTCGGGAGCCTTATTTGTAAATAAAGGGTATAGCAGTGCAGTCTGAAGGGTATCTTGCAGTATTTTTCCAAGTTGTGCATACTTTTTATTGCCCCCTACTGAGTGGGGCTGTGAAGGTGATAACGTAATCCTCCTTTAGGCTAAATTGTGCAGTCTCTGGGCAAACTGATTCCTGAGAGGTTTTAGCTGAGTTGTGCATCGTGTTTTGGGCTCATTTACACTTCTGTGACGTTGTATGTACAAAATCACAGATTTCAGTGGCCTTGTTGATTAAACTCTGCTTTTGATGGAAGAACATCATTATTTGTCCCTAGGCCTGATATACAATTCAGTGTGTAATCTTCTGTCTTATTCTAAGAATCCAAATGTATAGTTTTTATCAGCTATGAAAATAATGGTCAAGCCTGGGTTGAGCTGAGAAAGGAGAATAAGAGAATATAAAATAGTGTAGCTGCAAATGGTTTGAGGTGTGCCTTTTCTTGTTTAAACTTGTGTATGGCCCCAGGGAAGATATTTTTGGTGAACCTATTCCTTGTTCTACTTAGGTAACAAGATCTAAGTTAAGGTAGAATGTCCCAGGGATCCCTTTTTAACTCTTAAATCAGAGACATGTTCTGTGCTTTGGTACAATGTTTAATTAGACACCTTTGCTACAAGTGCTCCTCTTGTCCTGTCTCCCCCCGCCCAATCACTTTTCCCACTGTAGGGCTAATTTAGGTCAAACTTGTGAGTTACTAAGGGATTGTTTGTCCAGACATCATTCTGAAGGATTAATGGAATTGGTCACTCACCTTTGGGGGAGGAAAGGAATTTTGCTGTTAATTCTTTCAAGCAGAGGATGAGCCAAGCAGTGATTTCAGAACTATGGAGTCTTCTAGGCCCAAAGAATATTGCTTCACTTCTGGGATGTTTGTTTGCATTTTTCCAAGAGGATCACTAGCTTTTCTTTCCATTTGTCTTGCTAGCTTTCTAACTCTGACTTCTTCAGTTTCATTTTCTTCCCCCTGTCTGTCTCTGCTCTGCCTCACTTCCTGTGTTTAAATACCAGTTGACTTCTCTTTAACTCTTCTCTGTTTCTCCTCTTCTCTGGTTGTGGAAGCTACTCTGACACACACACACACACACACACCCCCCCTTATTTCCAGCTATTGCAGGAGTTTCCTAAATCTCCTGGGTGATACTAGAGTGCTGCCTTTGTTGCCTTATTTGGGACACTACCCAAACCATATGTACTCTTTGAGAAGCTGGGAGGAAGGAGATAGTTCCCCACGTGCTTACAGTATGTGCTCCCAGGTCTGGTCTTTCTATTCCCATCAGTTTATTGCATTGAGTGTCAAGTGACTGGGTTCGTATTTCCACCTCCTGGGCACAAGGCACTGTAGACTTCCCAGTAAGGTATGACAAGTGATTCTTTGCTTCCCCTGTGCTGTCACTTGTTCCGTAGCTGTCCTGGTGAACTTGTTAAGCAGGGGATTTTCTATGATACATTCGTACTGATGATGTTAAGTAAAATTTATTTTTTCAGGAACTTCAGCATAGGCAGAGGAAAGTCTGCTTCCCTTAAAGTCTTTCTTGTCTCTTCTATAATTGTTTTATGTCAGAAATATGTGGGGGTTCAGACAAACTTAGAAAATGTTTTTCCCTTGGATGTCCCAAGCCATAACGTGGGGTCTCCCTTGGGATCACTGAGAGCGGTTGATACTGTCTTCGAGCTGACAGGTAAAGGTAAAGCTGAACTTCAGATAGCAATAATCTTCAGGTAGCAATAATAATAATACAGAAAAAAAGATGTATGTTTAACTTCTCCATGTTAAAGTGGGAAGTAGAGGGTATTCTGTTTTTCAAAGCACATCCTTCTAGTGCTTCTGACAATGGCTGCAGCTGCCTTGGCTATTTCCTGCTGAATGAGCTAGACGCAGGCTCCTCTGCTTCCAGGCTGCACCCTGGAGCGGAGGCGTGGAGTGGCTCTAGCTTTCCCTGTCCTTTTCCTCCCTGGAGAGAGGGATGTGGCCTTCTCTGAGCCCGGAGGCAACCAGCAGGAGGGCTGGAGGGGATATTTTGTGGAGCACAACAACAGGACTGAGGAAGGTGACAGACTGGTAGCTTTTGGTGTGGAGTTGCAGGGGTTTATGGAAGCAGGAGTAAGACCTATGAGGCTGTAAGGCTGTTGTCTTTCACATCCCTTGATTAATGGAGTTGATTAAACTGTATTATTATGCATTTAGGTTTCATTTGGGGAGTTTATGGAAGATTTTTTTTCCCCACACACACACTCTAAATTTAGTGTCCTAGCTATTTTTTCCTCAGTTGAGTATCCTCGGTTTTTTTTTCCTTCATGATGTAATAATTTACTAGTTTACATTTGTGTAATGTGCCAGTGTAATGTAGTGCTCTGGAACTGGGAGAAGAGCAGGAGAGAGAAGAAGGTTATGCAGTTATGTGCTTTATTTTTTTTTATTATTTCTTCTCCAAAAAGCCACAGAATTGAAAAATGCGCTGGTAAAGCTTGTTTAAATTGAGAGAATTTTCATCTGTCCTCCCACACGAGCGTTCGAAACCTTGTTTTTGCTGCATGAATGCTTATATTTCAAAGTCAGCATCAAAGTTCCTAAGGCTAAGTGAGGAGATGATTTAGCACATTTTCCTGATTGCAGCTTGTTGTGATTGTTTCTTTCCTCCAACAGTTATTTTGCTTCCCTGTTTCTTTTGGCGCTCCCCAAAACAGTTCTTCCAGGCAAACACTATAATTCTTATTCTAACTAGCACACAGAGGCGAGTCTCTTGCTCCCACCTGTTTTTACCTGCTTCTGGCAAGAACATTGCATGTCTATCCCTTTTGAAAGGTATCTGCAAGCCAAAATGCAATCCCTCTACCACTTACTTGGAATGAAATGCAGTTTAACACCACATACAACATCTTTGCTGATTTTTGGGGGAAGTGGTGCCAACATAACTAGGACAGCTTTCCTGAAGCTGAGTAGTACTCAGAATCCTGATATGCAAGGGTGAGGACCCTTCAGCCCAGCTGGCACGACAATTAGGTGACGTGACCACAGTGTCTTTCGCCTCTTTCTTGGCCACGCTGAATTGTACGGTGATGTGACTCTACTAATTTGTTCTCTCTTCAAAAAAAAAATTCCCCCACTTGGTGGCACCTGTGACAGCATGTGTGTGTGTGTTATTTGCATATGTTAAAACAGGAATATGGTTTTGGTGTGTGAGCCATCAGAGCCTGAGGCTCTTGAGATTGCTGAGAGAGCCAGAGTTAAGCTCTGGAACTTGGGCTTCATAGCTGGTGTAAAGTGTCAGTCTGTGCAGCATGCCTGCTGGAAAATGACTGGTAAATCTGGACTGAGCTGGTTTAAAAAAAAAATGCTGTGGGGAGTCCCTGAGGCCTGCAGAGAAACCATTCATGTTTAATGTGTTTTTTCCTGCCATACAGTTAAACTAACACAGTGCTTAAATGCCTCACAATGATGGAAGTCTGCTGTGGAGCTGTTAAGGTTCAATTTTGAGGGAAAGGGAAATAATTTGGCAGAGTGAGAAATATTTTATAACTGCAGCAAATATCTTATGTGGAGCGCATTTATGCTGTCACAGATTCTTTACTGAACCATCCAGAAATGTGACAGATGCTCTGCCAGGAAGAGCTTTATCCCTCTAAAGTTTGCTGGGAATTTTTTCATATCATGGTTTGGGAATAAATAAAGGAATGTATTTTGAATAGATAAACTGATCTTAAGTACATGAAAATTACCCAGATAGTAAAACTTTAATTTGAGTTGTAGTGGGTGATACATTATGAAATATTAGCTGTGCATATTATGATAGTCTGAAGTTTGTTTCTATTTGTATTACTGAAGTATCCTAGAAGCTGACTGCTGGTTAGAAGACTTGGGTAGGCTCTTTTTTGTTAATCTCGCTGCTGTACACCATATTCTACCTGGCTGAAAAGAAAGAAGAGCTCAGTCAAATTTGCCTTGGTATTCCAAACTGAATTCTTAGGTCTCTCTTCTAGCCATAATATGACAGTAGCACAAATAATACCTAGTATTTTATTCTGAGTTTTAGCTTAACAGATCTAAAAGCAAGTTGATATTTTTCCTTGGTTCTTTTAAGTTTTGCTGTCTCTCTGTTATACACGGATTCTAAGTTGTGTAATCATTAGTTCCAAAAGTTGATTGTAATCATTATTTCCCCCCTCTCTGCACTCACCTCAGGCATTTGGCATGGGGAACAGGCCAAGGGAAGTGAAGGGGACTGTGAGCAGCACCAAAACAGCAGAGGGAAACCTAGGAATTGCATCCAGGCTTCCAGAGTTTTTGGTCTAGGTCTCCGTTCGCTGTGTAAAAGTACTTTTGATGATGTTTCTGTGAACGTTAAAGAAGGAAGATTTTCTTCACCTTGTGTTAAATTTAGTCATTGCTTCTGCATTGACTTCTAACAATGCTTATGGCTCGCATGTATTGATTGTATGTTTAACTCTCTTGTGAGAAAGTGATACCCAGAAGCACAGAGTGAAAATCATTCAGTGCAGTTACTATCTTGACTTGTTATATAACCAGCATGCTTATTTCTCATACTTAATTTCCATGTAGTCTTTATTTAAATAATATGACATCTTCAGAGCCTTTCAACTTCATCCTTATAATGTACTTCAACACTTTGTTGTCTGTCTCTTCAGGGATGATTCTGTCCCAGAGGATAATATTTGGAGGGGTATCCTCTCTGTGATTTTCTTCTTTCTAATCATCAGTGTTCTAGCTTTTCCTAATGGTGAGTAAGGTTTATACTGTTTATACTTCACTTTTTATAATGTGTGAATTTCTTTTTATTGCCACTATATTTATTTTGATTTTTATTAAGGTACCAAATTTTTAATGTATTTTTTTCTTTACTCTTTTGAATTCCTTTATGTTAAAGAACAGTCTAAAAATGGATTGCAATCATACTGAGTGGAGATAACGGTAAAATGCAAGTTATTTATAGCTTGTCTGTATCTAACAAGGAAGTCAGGTTCTCAAAAGCAGTGTCTCTATTTGCAGGTGCGCAGTTGCAGCTCAGATTGCTAAGTAATGATGCTGCCGGATCCTTAAATAATTTTTAAAAGGAGTCTGCCTTGGTGTGTTTTAACAGAAGTGTCATTCTACAAATTCTCAGAGATATAACACCTTATGTAAACCACCTTACCAGAAGCTAGCGATACTTGAAATGGTCTAAGTCACATTACAATGTAAACCCACAGTTGCTCAGCAGAAGGTTAAGTTGGTGTCGTGGTTTAACCTCAGCCGGCAACTAAGTTTTGGTAATTGTGTGAGGAGCAGAAAGTGCAAAAAGGTACAAACCCTCATGTGACACTTAATTCTGTGGAGGAAATGCTGTCTTCCTGTTTGTTTGGGGGTTTTAAAATTTATTTATTTATTTTTAATTTTTACTTACGGCTGTCAGCAAAAGCATAATTCTTGGGTCAAGTCTAAACTGTCTCAGGATTGGCAGTGTTCAGGAAAAAACAATTATTGTGCTCAGGGCAGCTTTGTACTTCAGAGTTGGGATGTGTTTTTCCTCATATTTTAAAAATCATTAATCCATACTTTTCACAAAGTGCTCCCTGAAAAACTGAATGCCAGAGAAAAATGAGCTTTATGCATACAGTGGTGAAAGAGCAGTTCGCAGCATGTGCTGAAAATATTTGTTCAGCCACTTCTTGCTACCTAAATGTATGATTCATGTTTAGAGGTTTTCCAGTTTCACCAGGCTTACTTTCTCTGCTCTTCACGTTAACTGAGAGGTTTTTAATCTAATAAAGTCAGTTTAATCACTGGCTCTAAAGTAAAAAATATTGACATTGGTAAAGAGGATAGGTATCTTCTTGTCAGATATATGATACTCAGTTTGGAAGTTTTAGGAGGCCTGTTTGCTAACATTTCGTGGTCATCTGAAGGCTAAGCACCATGTTTCTTTGCTAACACACAGAAATTTGTACTTGATGACTTCTCTGGGAGCAAGCCGTGTGTGAGCTGTGGTCTAGAAACCAGATCAAGAGATCCTCAGGTGACACCTGATTTATGGTGTCTGCTGAGCAAACAGCATACTACTGTTCTGGAAACATCTCCATAAAAATAATGGAAAAATTTATCTACACCCTACTAATTGGCAGTCTCCTTTTCCTCTCTGAAAACTGCTGTTACCATTTTTTTTTTTTTAACATAGAGCCCCAGCTTTTGGGTATATTACATAGTTTGATGGAGAACTGATCCGTGCTCATGCCAAATCCTCATATGGCATATACTCCAAAATAGTTTATGTGGTTCTTATTGACTGTCTTCTAATAAGCTTCTTTACTGTCCACAGGACCATTTACACGTCCCCACCCTGCAATATGGAGAATGGTTTTTGGTAAGTTTAAGTTGTGTTTCTGACTTTTTCAGTGCTTCTGCAGGACCGTCCATTTTAACTTTCAGATGAATGGAATTGTCATGAAACATAATTGTGCATCAAACTTGTGTGAATGTCACTTCCCTCCCACTTCTGAGCAGTTGCTTATAATCTGTTCTTAATTATGTTTGGGAATGTCGTTGTAGTTACTCTGTGTCAGGATGGTATAAATTAAATCACCAGAAAGGGATCATTCATTCTGATACTCTGTTTTAATCCTGTTTTGTGTTTGTGCTTCCTAATCTCCTTCCCCGACACCCTTCCTACTGCCATCTCTTCCCACCCCAAAAAGGTTTGGGTTTTTATAGCTACTGCATATACTATCTGACTTCTAACTAAATCCAGTTTAGTAGGGTGCTTCTTTTCATTATTGGCAAAATAAAATGTGCTATTACTTTATATGTTTATTAAATTGTATCATTGTATAGCTTAACATACATTAACATTTATTAATATTCTTAACATGTATATATTCATATTCTTAACTTATAATTTCAGCAAAAATACCTGTAAATATTAGTTGCATTCATAGTTTGGAAAGTAATTCTATTAACTACAGAACTAACTGAGTGAAATCCTGCTCCTTAAACATCTGAATTACATGGCAAAAACCTAACAAATATTATTTTGAAATAATTCAGGGTTCACAGAGCCTTTAAGCACATTTGCAGAGAATTAGACACATTTGATTTAAAAGCTGATCTGTTTCTTTTTAAGGGGACTGAATGTTTCTCTCTCCCGCCACCTTACATAGCTAAAAATAAGTAGCCTCCCAAAGTAGCTGATTACTCATCTGTTGACATTGAGAGGATACTGCTGATTAGATAGTACTCGTTAAAGAATCCTGCTCCTTGTGAAGTTTGGGAAACACAGGTACTACTGCTCGTTTCAGGTTTCAGCAAATGTAAAGTAAAAGGTCATTCTCAGTGTTGATACTGTCAGAGCTTGACCCCCTGTACTTTCGGGAAAAGGCTGCACACAAAATCAAGAGCAACATTTTTCCCCGTGTAATTCTGCTGCTTCTGGCATGGCTTATTTAGCCGTGCTTGAGGTCTCAGACCTGTTCAGTAGATGAAAGGCAGTAGTGTGTCCTCAACATTTCAGGATGCACCGTTGCCTGCAGGCTGTACTTGTAGTAGTGTGGCATCTGTTTACCTGATGTGTTTTTAGGATGTGCTGCAGAGGAGAGTATATATACTTTCTGTTCATGTGTGTGTACTTGAACGGAAGTTGTTCTCTGGCATACACTGGGGATTAATAACATGTGAGTTCTGGTCATAGTTTAAAATATCTTTTTAGAATTGCTATAGTTTATTTTGGATGGCAGATACTAAGTTTATTCACATTAATCTTTCTGTCTTCCATGACATTGCTGCAGGATACAAGCAAGTTTGAGTGCTAGACTAGGAAATAGTGTTAGTGTTTATGTGCCTCTTCCTAGATATCTGTGAACTTGTAATTTAGTAGTGTAAAGATATGCTCCCAACAGCAGCTTCATCTACCCATAGATCTATACCTAGGACTCTTAACTTCTTACAAGTTTTTATTTAAAAAAAAAAAAATCCATATTCAGACATTGGGAGGAGAGAGGCGGGGGGCGCCAAAACAAAAACGAGTTGTAAATTTTTATTGTTTATGCTCCCAACAGCAGCTTCATCTACCCATAGATCTATACCTAGGACTCTTAACTTCTTACAAGTTTTTATTTAAAAAAAAAAAAATCCATATTCAGACATTGGGAGGAGAGAGGCGGTAGTCCCAAATGCAGTAGTGTTTCATAATTTATAATGGTGTGAAAACAAATAATAATCTTTACCTTTAAAAGCTTCAAATGGCAAATTTTCCAGCTCACAAAAGTAACTCAAACATGCATTAGTTTATATTTATAACTACTCTTTATTGCCAGCATAGCTCAGAATTGCCAGGTGGGATTATTAAATTGATCTTTGTGTTGAAATCTGCATATAGGCTTAGGGACCTGCATTAGTGAGACCAAGAATACTTAAAGCAAAGGGACAGAACTAATCCAATCCTGGGGTCCTAACGTATCTCTTACTAAAGAGCTTCCTGATCACAGCCTCGTACTACTTGTGTCTAAACTGATTAGACTGCTTTTTGTTTTGATTGGGTTCATGCAGTCGAGCATATATTGTATCACTTGAAACAGGAGGTGATATGAAGGGCTGAGTGCTCAAAGATTACCATCTGACTTGTGTCTCTTAAGCTTTTTTGCATGTAGCCACTGTATGTAGAAAACCCATTTGTACAAACTGGGCCTGTATAGAGCAACAGTTTGAAAGCAGCTTTTTGGACTCTCAGTGTCCCAAGGAGTTTTGTGAGTGAACATGATTTTAAAGCTGAGTCTTTTTGCAGGTCTCAGTGTGCTCTATTTTCTGTTCCTGGTGTTCGTGCTCTTCCTTAACTTTGAGCAGGTAAAAGCAGTGATGTACTGGCTGGATCCTAATCTTCGATATGCCACAAGGGAAGCAGATATTATGGTATGTATCCATGGCACTTTATTGGACATTTTGGCTACTTTAGGCATGTTTTACATGAGTGGGAAGGGATAAATCTCGATTTGCTGGCATCAGCAGTGCAAGTTTGTGCCTATACGTGACAGAGTCAACAAGCCTTTTGTATCAACTGCTATTTATTTACATTGAAATCAATTGGTGTGAAAAAGTCTTCTCTATTTTTTTCTAATGCAGATGTTCAGATGAGTGTGCAGTAGGGAGTGCGAGATATGTTTGCACTGGGGTGGCTTTGGATTCCTTTAAATAATAGATATGAGCCTGGATACTGAAAATAGACTTAGCATGATCGTATCTAAATGAAGCCTGTATGGTGTGCGTGTCCCAGATCAGTTTTTTTGATGCCACAATGCTGCACTCAAAGAACTTTGGCCTTGCCTTATTGCTCTGAGCTTAGTACATGACTGGCATGCTACTGAGTATGTGGAAATCCGGGTACAGCAACTGCAGGGCTCTGCTGCCTGCCAGTCACCCAGCTAAGCACTGGTGCTGTTTACCATTGGGAAATTACTTCCATAGACCATGATCTGGAGTGGCGTGGAAAGCCAGGCTTGTTCTTCTGCCTGTTGAGCAGCTTACAAAGAATTTTCAATACAGAGAACGTTCCCCTTCAGGTGAGGACACTAGCACAGGGAGTTGAGGTAGTAAAAGGAGGCCTGGGAGAAGTATGTGAGGTATGTTGGGAGGCAGGCAGAAGAGGGTGTGAGCAGGTGAGCACCAAGCAGAAGAGGATTATTGCATGGAGAGGCAAGAGTTGCCAGTCTTGTCCTTTTCACTGTCACATCGAATTACTGCCTACCACCTGACCAGTGTGCTTCCTTGCCCTTGGGTTTGCGTATCTGCGCACCATTGTCACCTGTTGTATAGTAGGTGCTGTTACCGGACTCATGCCTCAAGAGTAAGGAAATACGCTGATTGTCTTTGGCAACTAGCAATTTGCTGCATATGCAAACTACTGCACAGCACCTCAGCAGCAGTGGCTGCAAACTCCTGCCCTGTAGCACATAAGAGGGAATGGAAATCTTTACAGTGCAGTAAGCTTACGTTAGTTGATTGATAGTGAGAGCTGCATACAGGCTCCTTACCTGGAAAACTCTGGATGCTTCAGGTGTTGCATCTTAGCTGATCAGCAGTATGTGTTGTGCAATTCCAGCATCCAGAGTAGGGCTGTGACTTTCTGTTCTGCAGATGCGTGGTGGTGGTGAGGCGTGGGCAGCCTGCCGTTAGGGCGGTGGGAGGACACATTGCTAAATGGAGCATGAGCATGGGGGTTAGTGGTGTTGCTGAGCAACAAAAGGGAGCTGAGACGAGGAGTCTGTTGGTAAGTCAGATTCACCTGGCTCTCCTGTCATCTAAGTTTGAAATAAATAGATTCAAGTCAGGGGAGGACAGAACTGCAGTACAGTAGATTCCCTGACTGTAGCAGTCAGTGGAAACTTGCTCTGTACTACTTTGCAATCCTGATACTGTCACTTAAAGTTGGAGTAAATTTTTAAAGTGCAACTATAATGAAGGCTGCAGCTTGGTGTCTTGCACAGGACTGGCAAAGTTGCTTGAGTATTGAACTTTCTTTTAAACATTTCACTGTATGACTGGCAGAGCTGCAGCTGGAAAGATGAGATAAAGGGGAAAAAGCCCCAGTAAAAATAAAAGCAAAAAAGCAAGAGCCCTGCAAAAAGCTTACTTTTGAAGTAACCTCATTGTGTTCACTCATCATAGAGTTTCAGATATCATGGTGTAGCTATGAGCCTGCACATTCCATTGTGCATTCTGTGCTTCTCATGCTGGCAAATGAGCCAGTTTCAGCTCTCTTTGGGTACATGTGCTAAAGCTGCAGCTTTGCCATCCTTAGGACAGGTGGTGCACCTTTCTCTGAATGACCAGCAGCACTGGCATGTGTGAGGAGCAACACCATGCTTTCACTTCAGGGAGCACCAGCAGTAAGGGTTACTTACAGTTTCATAGTGAGACTTAACTGCCTGCTGATAGAAGTATTTGTGTGAAGTTGTGCATTCTTCTCTTTATAGAGACCAGGATTTAAATCTTTCTCTGCCATCCCCTTTTCAACTCGATCATGGTTCCTTTGTGCAGGATTAGCAATAGTTCTGGCCTGAAAGAGAATCCTTTCTTAATTCAGCAGCACTGAGCAGTGCTGTGTTGTCACCTGCAGGTGGCAATGTATATTTTAGGAGGGTTGGAGAGCAGAGATTCTTTAAAATGTGTGTTTCCAGCTGAGAATAGTTCAGTTTGTGCCCAGTGACGAGACAACCCCACAGATGCAGCCTCCTGATGGCATATAGATTTTTTTTTTTTGTTGGGCGGTGATTTCTAGCACTTGCTGTATAACATGATGAGAGAACACATTTCCTTTGTTATTGATGAGTATTAATTAATATAATATTCTTCAGGAATCTGCCACTCATCTGTGACAAAACAGTTGCAAGTTCCCCTCCCCTTTTTTTTTTTTTTTTTTTTTAATATATTCCCCGGAACCCCAACTTT